CATAGCCAATCTCTAAACAGTGTTGTTTTGGTTTTTTAAATCCCCCCCTTTTTTTCTGATATAAATGAATTTAAAGGTTTATTAGCCCTAGGGGAAAGACTGATTTCTCAAGATGAATTCTTAAGTCCCCTGTAAAAAAGCAGACTTATAGAAAATTTCTTTCTCATGAACAGAAAATCACTATACATTTGATCCCAGATATGTTGGTTTTTTCCTTCTTCTTCAGATGACTGATGTTAGTAACTGAATCTAGGAACAAGTATACTTGCCCCAAATGTGCAACATAAATACAGAAGCGATGAACAGAAGACTCATAACCAATACTGAAACAGGGCCAACCCTGAGCCCAGAGAACCGCCACACGGCCCCAGTGCCTTCCAAGGTCGTGCAGCCTGCGCTCCTTGTTCCACAGCTGGCATTTTTCCTTTGCCAGACAGTGGTTCCTGCCGCCCGGAGGCCACTGCTTTGCTGGGTGAGCACCCTGAAGAACCCACGTTAGTGCCACTGGGGGTCGGGCGGGGCATGCTGGACATGCTGGAGACTGGAGGATTGCAGGGTGCAGAAGTGGGCCTCTGGAAAGAGCCGTGAAAGGACTGGTAGCTGGAGAACTTTCTTTTTTTTTGAGACAGAGTCTCACTCTGTCGCCCTGGGTAGAGCACTATGGTATCATCGTAGTTCACAGCAAACTCAATCTCCTGAACTCAAGCCATCCTCTTGCCTCAGCCTCTTGAGCAAGAGTGAGACCCTGTCTCTACTAAAAATAGAAAAACTAAGCCAGGCGCGGTGGCTCAGGCCTGTAATCCTAGCACTCTGGAAGGCCTAGGCAGGTGGATAGCTTGAGCTCACAAGTTCCAGACCATAAGCAAAAAGAGAGACTCCTGTCTCTACTAAAAATAGAAAAAACTGAGGCAGGAGGATCGCTTCAACCCAAGAGTTGCAAGTTGCTGTGAGCTATGACTTCACAGCATTCTATCTAGGGTGGCAGCTTGAGACTCTGTCTCAAAAAAAAAAAAAAAGAAAGAAAGAAAGAAAAGAAAAACTAACTGGACATTGTCAAGGGCACCTGTAGTCCCAGCTACTGGGAAGGCTGAGATAAGAAGATCGCTTAAGCCCAGGAGTTTGAGGTTACCATGAGCTATGTTGCCATGGCTCTGTACCCAGAGTAAGAGTGAGACTCTGTCTCAAAAATAAATAATTTAATTTTTTTTAAAGTAGAAGAGAAAAGCAACACGGAGAAGCTTCAGACTGATGTAATGTGAGCACTTTACCTGCCCTTGCTGGGTTTGAAAATGGAGAAAGAGGGCACACACCAAAGAATGAAGATAGCCTGTGAAAGCAGAAAATGGCCAGGGGACAGATTCTCCCCTAGAGCCTCCAGAAAGGAACACAGAGCCCTGTGTTCCTAAAACACCTTGATTTAGTCCAGTAAGGCCCATGTCTGACTTCTGACCTACAAAACTCTAATTTATGCTGCTTTAAGCCACTGAATTTGTGGTTGAATAAAGGTAAAGATCAGGGCCAAGTACAGGAATAAATGTGAGTAAGGGTAAGAGTTAGGGCCAGAATCAGCTTAACGTCAGGCTAGGTTGAGGGTCAAGCTGAGGATCAGAAAGCATAAGTATATGAGTTAGTGTCGGGCTCAGGTTCCTGGTCAGGCCCTCTTGGTTATGATCAGGGTTGGGGTGAGAGAGGAAGTGATGGTCAGGGCAAGGGTCTGATTCAGAGTAAGAACCATCAGGTCTAAGGTAAAAGTCAAGGTGAGAGTGAGGACATGGTGGGGTCAGTCTTAGCAATGGGGCAATTATAAGAACCAGGGCACATTCAGGTTGGGGCAGTGAGAATGTTAGGGTCAGATCAGGTAGAAGCTGAGGGTCAGAGAAAGGCTGAGCCAAGGAGTGAAGGTGAGAATGTTGAGAGTCAAGATCAGAGTCATGATCTGGTCATGTATTACCATCAGACTGAAATCTGGTTCAGGTCAGGATTCTGGCCAGGGTCAGGCTTAGGGGAATCCCAGGACCTGAATGAAAACTAGAGTCAGGGCTATTGAGTGTAAGCATCAGGTTAAGAGCAGAGTCAGATCTCTGTGAGAGACGAGGTCAGATTTAAATGACTTTCAGGTTCATGGTCACAGACAGACGTGGGAGAAATCTGAGTGAGGGTCAGAGTCACATGAGCATATGTGTTAGCTGGGACGAGGCCAGGGCACCCTAGTGTTAGGATGAAGTTTTGAGTCAGGATCTTGGTCAGGTCAGGTGTAGAGTGCAACATTGACTCAGGGCAAGAGCCACAGAGGGTCTCAGTGAGACTGGAGGTCAGGCTGTATGTGCCAGAGAATCATGGTTGGGGAGAGGAATCAAGGTCAGGTTAAAGGTCTGCATCAGGGTCAGGGTTCATGTGAGTCAGGGCTATTGTCAAGGTCTGAGTCAGGATTAGGGTGCATGTATTTAGGCCAAAGCTTGGGATCATGGTCAGGGCAAGGGTTGAGGTCAGGATTCGCAGTCCCTGCCTGCCTCCTGGCACCATGTGCTGACCTTATGGATATAAGTTTCTGAAATGCTATTCCCCCATTTACCTGAATGTCTACCTCCTTCACCTACATGGAATCTCTAATGCTGCCTCACCCTCCCTACCTCCTCCACTAGGATATGAGCAGCCATATTGGAACATTTTGCTCATTAATGGGCCCTAAGCACTTACAAGAGTGCCTAGCACAGACTAGGTACTCAATAAAAGTTTAATAAATAATGAGTATGTGTTGAAGTATTAATATTTCTTAAAAAAAGGTACATTTGGGGGCAGCACCTGTGGTTCACTGGGTAGGGCGCCAGCCCCCTATGCCAAGGGTAGCAAGTTCAAAACCGGCCCCAGCCAAACTGCAACCAAAAATAGCCGGGTGCTGTAGCGGGCGCCTGTAGTCCCAGCTACTCCGGAGGCTGAGGTAAGAGAATCCCCTAAGCCCAGGAGTTGGAGGTGACTGTGAGCTGTGTGACGCCGCAGTACTCTACTGAGGGGGAAAAAAAGGTACATTAGGAAATACAATGCAACAAACTGCTCACAGTAGTTATCTCTAGCGTAGAATTATTACAAAATGTTCATAGCCAATTCAATATATGTTCATATTATTTTCTTTCTTTTGAGATGAGGTCTCACTGTGCTACCCAGGCTGGTCTTGAACTCCTGGGTTCAAGTGATCCTCCCACCTCAGCCTCCTAAGTAGCTCGGACTATAGGCATACCACTGCATCTGACTTACTTTGTTCTTTTTTTGTTTTTGCTTTTTTTTTTTTTGAGACAGAGTCTCACTCTGAAGTTAGAATGCTGTGGCAGCAGCCTAGCTCACAGCAACCTAAAACTCTTGGTCTCAAGTGATCCTCTTGCCTCCGTTTTTTACTTTTAGTAGAGACAGAGTCTTACTCTTGCTGAGGCTGATCTCAAACTCCTGAGCTCAAGCAATCCACCCACCTCAGCCTCCCAGAGTGCTAAGATTTGTTTTGGGGGCATTTTTTTTAGAGGCAGAGTCTCATTTTGTCGCCCTCAGTAGAGTGGTGTGGTGTCACAGCTCACAGCAACCTCCAGCTCTTGGGCTTAGGCAATTCTCTTGCCTCAGCTCCCAAATAGCTGCCATTAGACACTGGCCACAACACCTGGCTATTTTTTGTTGCAGTTTGCCCAGGGCCAGGTTCAAACCCGCCACCCTCAGTATATGGGGCTGGTGCCAACTCACTGAGACACAGGCACTGCCCAGAGTGCTAAGATTATAGGTGTGAGTCACCGTGCCTGGCCTATTTTTATTTTTTTTTAAATGGAATGGTTTATGAATTTGCACATCATCCTTGTACATGCTGATCTTTTCTGTATTGCTCCAAGTTTGGTATATGTACTGTCAAAGTGAGCACTTACTACTGATATGCCAGGTGCAGTGGCTCACACCTGTAATCCCAGCACCCTGAAAGGCCAAGGCCCAACACTCTGTTGCCTGAGCTCACAGATTGGAGACCAGCCTGAGCAAGAGCAAGACCCATTCTCTAAAAATAGCCAGGCATTGTGGCAGGTGCCTATAGTCCCAACAACTTAGGAGGCTGAGGCAGGAGGATCACTTGAACCAAGGAGTTTGAGGTTGCTATGAGCTATGACGCCACAGCACTCTATCAACGGTGACAAAGTAAGATTCTGTCTCAAAAAAAAAAAAAAGAAATTACTACTGATTATTTTATGATCACCAAAAATGGATCCTTCCATTTTCAGATAAAGCAAATAACTTTAGGTAAAGTGCCTGATAGAGTGACTGGCACAAGGTATACACCAAACTTTAACATTAGCTAAACTTCAGACCACTGGCAACCTTCCTTTGAGCACTGGAACACCCACAGAGAAATTCTGCTCTAGATCCCTCATTTAAAGAGTTAAAGACAGGGAAGCGCCTGTGGCTCAAAGGAGTAGGGCCCTAGCCCCATGTGTTAGAGGTGGCGGGTCCAAACCCAGCCCTGGCCAAAAACTGCAAAAAAAAAAAAAAAAGAGTAAAGGCTGGGCATGGTGGCTCACACCTGCAATCCTAGTACTTTGGGAGGCCTACACAGGACTGCTTGACGCCAGGAGTTTGAGCCCAACCTGAGCACCATAGTGAGATACTCTATAAAAAAAAATTAAAAAATTAGCGAGACGTGGTAAAGGGTACCTATAATCCCAGCTTTTCTGGAGATTGCAGAAGGAGAACCACTTGAGCCCAGTAGTTCAAGATTATAGTGAGCTATGATGATGCCACTTCATCTTAGCCTGGGCAACAGGGAGGGGAGGGAGGGAGGGAGGGAGGCAGGCAGACAGGCTCATGGCTCATGCCTATAGTCCCAGCACTCTGGGAGACCAAAGCTGGAGGATCCCTTGAGCCTAGGAGTTCAAAGCTATAGCAAGCTATGATGACACCACTACACCTGAGTCTAAGTGATAGAGTAAGACCTTGTCTCTGAAATAAAAGAAAATAAAAAGAGTAAAGACAAACAGAGGTAGGACAATATGGAAGGTCTTTATTCAATAGCAGCTGAGAAATGAGGCTTTAGTCCTCTGAGTGGGTATGTTTCCTTCTGTTCTACTTTACTCCTTTCCACGTTTCTATTCTTTGCAGGCTACAGCGTGATGCAAATAGAAGAAATTGTCCTAGATGTACTTATACACAACCTTTGAGGGCACAGTTTGGAGGTGGAGTCGCACAGGACACTTGTAAAAGTGGGACAGCAGAGTTTCACTGTAGCCCACAAGAAAATAGTACTTGTGTGCAGGCAGGTTCCTCAGGACCACAGCACAGATCTCCACCTGGTTAGCTCGGCGCTTTAGGACCAGTTGGTCTGCCAGGCAGCCTGGAAAGGTACCCAGCATGAACTTGCGCAAGAAAACATCCTCTACTGTTCGCTCTGCAGCATGGTCCTCCCCATCCAGGTTACCTGAGGAGGGAGAGGCATCACAGAAGAGTCAGCCCTGTTGCCCCAGAGACCTGCCAAAACTCCCAGGTCAACATCCAAAAGCACTGGGAACTCAATTCCACCCTTCAGCCCCAGCCCTCTTCTCTTTTCTTCTTCCAATGGAAGTTCAAGGTAAGTTATTTCATTAATTCCCAAACCAATCCTATGAAGTAGGTATTGTCATTATCCTTGTTGTACAAAAAGGAAGATGGAGGCCTGAGCCAGAGTACAACTCAAATGATGCCTCCAGATCTAACCCCTTTCCCAGCCTTCTTGGTTGCCTTATAAAAGCAGTGGTCATTCCATGGGTCAGAAGATAAGGTCACCAGCTACTTTTAAGATTAGAGACATAGGCCAGGCACAGTGGCTCACGCCTGTAATCCTAGCACTCTGAGAGGCTGAGTTCAAGAGTTAGAGACTGGCATGAGCAAGAGGGAGATCCTGTCTCTACTAAAAACAGAAAAATTAGCCAGGTTGTGATGGGTGCCTGTAGTCACAGCTATTCAGAAGGCTGAGGTAAGATAATCAGTTGAGCCCAGGAGTTTGAGGTTGCTGTGAACTACGATGACACCAGAGCACTCTACCCAGGAGACAGAGTCTCTGTCTCAAAAAAAAGGCAAAAACAAAAAATCCCAGCTTTGTGTTTGTTTCTGTTTAAAGACACCTTTTTAATATATGTGGTTGACACATTAACACTGAACTTCAGGGCCAACACTGTAACTCATGCCTGAACAAAGCTTCTCTAACATAGTTAAGTTTGCCATAAAACATTCATACCCTTCTTAAACTTAGGCATACTATACCAACCCAGCACTACATGGATATTTTACATTTTAATTTATTTTATATTTTATTTTACTTTAATTTTTTTGAGGTGGAGCTTCTCTCTGTGGCCCTGCAATTGAGTGTCCTGGTGTCATCAAAGCTTGAAACAACCTCAAACTCTTGGCTTCAAGTGATCCTCTTGCCTCAGTCTCCTGAGTGGCTGACAGCACAGGTCGGCCCCCACCAGCTACCATGCTGGCTCCTACTAAGGCTGGTCTGGAACTCTTGAACTTAAGGGATGTACCCAACTCTCCCTCCCAGAGTGCTAGTTTTACAGCTGTGAGCCCAGCTGCCCCACCTACAGAGTCACTTTAAATAGCAAAATCAGTAATAAAGAGCAAAAAAATATAGAAAACATGGCTCTAGACCAGTGTCTTTCAACCTTTGTTATCTCATAGCACACTTAGACCTATAGTTAAACTCCGTGGCCCACTTAAATTACATCCAATAACAACAACAACAACAACAAAAAGAGTAAAAGGGCCTAGCCTCTGGCTTCGTGGGTAGGGTGCCAGCCCCATATACAGAGGGTGGTGGTTCGAACCCAGCCCCAGCCAAACTGCAACAAAAACAAACAAACAAAATAACCGGGTGCTGTGGCGGGTGCCTATAGTTCTAGCTACTTGGGAGGCTGAGGCAAGAGAATCGCTAAGCCCAGGAGTTGGAGGTTGCTGTGAGCTGTGATGCCACTGCACTCTACCGAGGGTGATAAAGTGAGACTCTGTCTCAAAATAAATAAATAAATAAAAGAGTAAAAAGACATAACATTCTTACTATGTTTTGTTTGAACTTATATGGAAAATAATTTAATTAATGATCCTTAAAATTTTTCGTGGCACACCTAAGATTCTTTCACGGCACATCAGTGTGCTGTGCACACCAGTTGAGAATCACTGATGTAGACCAGAAAAGGGCATTTTTATTGCTGAGTTTCACAAAATTTGTCACAGGTTTTCATTTTCTTTGGATGTCAGGCTGCCCGAATGCTCCAAAGCCTGGAGTCTCCTCACCTGTGTGCAACGACAGCCAGCTCTTGCGGTGGGCGATGTAGTGCGGGGCATGTGCTTCCTCGTAGCTCACCGGCTTGTCCCCCTTACCCACTCGGACACGGGCTGCCCGATTCTAGGAGTAAAAGAGTTCGTGAGTCCACCGGAACCTCGATCTGCACGCCACCACCCCACAACCCCGCGTATAATTTCCACCACTAGTGCGGACTGCTCTCCCGCCGCAGACTCCCAACCCCTCACCCTCTAGCCCGCCGCTGTCCGGCTCCCAGCCCCAGGCCCCACGCCACGTCCCCTCAGCCCGCGCGGTGTTCTCGACCCCGGCCCTGAACGCTGCACTTGAGCAGCGCCCCCGCCCCCACCGGCGCCCCGGCCGCGCTAACCTTGGCACAGACCGCAGAGGTGTGCAGGGCGCGCCAAGCGCATGGCAGTTCTCGGCTCCAGGACTGCACCTGTAGGAGGAAGACGCATAAGCGGATATCCAGGACCCCACCCCCGACTCGAGGGGAGCCCGCTGCCTCGCCCACTTACCCGAGGCCACAGCAAGCGGCTGCACATAGGCACCGCCATTTTGGACCGAGCGGCGCTCGGGCCGTACCACAGCGTGGCTCAGGGTAGGGGCAGCCAGGGCCAGACCAAATAGCGAGGGGGCTACTAACCCGAGGGGCGGGGCCGCGCGGGGGCGGAGGGCTGGGGCTCCCGCCTTCGTCGCTGTACTGGGGACTCTTTTGCGGGCAGTCCGCATTCCTTCGGCGGTCGTTGCTGACACTGAATTTCAGATCTGGAAATTTGATGATGTGAAGCGTGAAGGTTTGCCCTGAAAGAACTAGTAGGGGCGATGGACGTGCCGCCCACTGACCCCCGCCTGCCCAGCCTAGGTCCTTGGGGCTGACAGGAGCAAAGCGTTTTTCCCAGGTCCTAGAAATTAGGCTGCTGAGTTCTGTCTCCAAATAATATTCTTAAAAATATATTTAGAATATATTTGAATATATTTGAGCAGACGGGTGGTTCAAGCCTGTAATCCTAGCACGCTGGGAGGCCAAGGCAGGCGGATCGTTTGAGGTCGGGAGTTGGAGACCATCCTGAGCAAGAGACCCAGTCTCTACTAAAAATAGAAAAATTAGAGGGCGTGGTGGCGGGCGCCAGTACTCTCAGCTACTCCGGAGGCTGAGGGAGGACAATTGCTTGAACCCAGGAGTTTGAGGTTGCTGTAAGATGAGCTGAGGCCATGACACTCTAGAGATGACAGAGCAAGACTGTCTCAAAAAAAAAAAAAAAGTGTTTGTGTGTGTGTGTGTATCCGGGCTTTTATCCACAAATAAAGAAGAAACGTCTTTTGGTTAAAACTTTACCCAGTTCTCCAAGGATGAGTTATGTAGAGGTAGGATTTGCCACTTGTGACCATGCTCTGGTAGCTGGCCCCTGGGGAAGGAAAATTTTAAATAAGGGGGAAAGCCAGAGAGCCAGGAAATTAATGGGAATTTCACAGAGCCTTTAATACTCAAACCAGAGAGTTGCCACTGTACATGGTATCTAGTAATTATTCATAAGAAAGGGAAAAATAGCAACGCAGGATATCTTATTTTAGAATCCAGTAATGGAAAAAACATGGGCTCTGGCTTCAGGCCCACATATAACAAACTTTGTACAGTTAAATCCCAGTTCCATTATCTATAAAATGGGTTAATACTTCTGCTTCATAGTACTACTAGGATCAATGCAGCATTTAATGAATGATAACTGTCACTGGTTGTGTTTGGTGACTCGTGAAATTGCCAGTATTTGGCCATCTTTGGACCTACATTAGGTTTGCCCTAATAGTAATGCTGAGGTTTCCTTTGGGGGAGAGGACGAGATAATCATCTATGGGAAAATGTGCAGGGGGATGTGACTTGCCCACTGTGATAATGGGACAGGAAGGCACAAGTCTCTTGACTTCAACTCAATCCACTTTCCATGACCAAGACTATTCTGACCACTGGAAGCAGAGTCCTCAAAAACGCTTAATAGAAGGAGAGGGTCTTCTGTGCCCACTTCACAAGGAACGTTTTGTTCTTAGTTTTTTTTTATTTTTATTTATTTTTTTGAGACAGAGACTCACTTTGTCACCCTCAGTAGAGTGTTGTGGTGTCACAGCTCACAGCAACCTCTAGTTCTTGGGCTTAGGTGATTCTCTTGCCTCAGCCTCCCAACTACCTGAGACTACAGGCGCCCACCACAACACCCGGCTATTTTTTGTTGCAGTTTGGCCAGGCCCAGGTTCGAACCCACCACCCTTGGTATATTGGGCTGGGGCACTACTCACTGGGCAAGAGGCACCGCCCCATATTCTTAGTTTTTTTAAACTTTGGCCTCCAACTGTTCTGCATATTGGATAAAGGGACAGAACAGAAATGAGATGTTCTCCAATCCAACGATACTTTGCAAATACAGGAACTTTCAACTTTTCCTAAAGAATTCTTTTAGGCTTGGTGCCTGTGGCTCAAGTGGCTAAGGCACCAGCCACATACACCTGAGCTGGCAGGTTCAAATCCAGCCCAGGCCCACCAAACAATGACAGCTGCAACCAAAAAAATAGCAGGGCATTGTGGCGGGCACCTGTGGTCCCAGCTACTTGGGAGGCCGAGGCAGGAGACTTGCTTGAGCCCAGGAGTTGGAGGTTGCTGTGAGCTGTGATGCCAAGGCACTCTACCCAGGGGGACAGCTTGAGGCTCTGTCTCAAAAAAAGAAAAAAAAAGAACTCTTTTAAACTAACAATATTTTTTCTTTTCAAAGTTTTCATAGGCTCGGCGCCTGTGGCTCAAGTGGCTAAGGTGCCAGCCACATACACCTAAGGTGGTGGGTTCAAATCCAGCCCAGGCTGCCAAACAACAATGACGGCTGCAACCAAAAAAAAAAAAAAAATAGCCAGGCTATGTGGCAGGCACCTGTGGTCCCAGCTACTTGGGAGGCAGAGGCAGGACACTCACTTGAGCACAGGAGTTGGAGGTTGCTGTGAACTGTGATGCCACAGCACTCTATCCAGGGGGACAGCTTGAGGCTCTGTCTCAAAAAAAAAAAAGTTTTTATAAAGTACAATAATCTTAGAGGGGTTTCGTTTTGTTTAGTATTTTGAGACAGGGTCTCACTCTGTACCCCAGGCTAGAGCACAGTGTGGTCATCATAGCTCACTGCAACCTCAAACTCCCCAGCTCAAGCGATCTGCCCATCTCAGCCTTCCAATGTCCTAGGATTATAGGATCACTACCTGTATAGAGACGAGGATAGTCTTAGATGAGGAACATTAGATCTGGCATCTGAATTACCTAAGTCCAATACCTAAACCCACTGCTTCACTAATTTGGTAAGTGACCGAACTTGAATCCCAGTTTCCCTCATCTGTAAAATAGGGACAATAATGATGGTTGTGAAAATTATACCATAAAATGCCTGGTAGAGCGAGCAGTTAAATGTCAAAAAAGAAAACCAGAGTCCTTGATATCTAAAAGAACCAGCTATTGAGGGTTCTATGAGAAATCACAGCGACACCCCCTGATCCGAGGAAAGGAGAAGGGAGAAGAACAGCAAAGGTAATTAAGGCACACACCTTTTGGGGCTACAGGTGCAAGTGGCAGCAGGAGACAGTGCTGGCCAGGCAAGCAGGGGCCACATCAGGAAGGCTGTGGTTTGGAATCTGTGCTGGGAGTCATTTTGTCAATGAGGCAGTAGGCAACATGATCAAATTTGTTTTTCTCTGTTAAAGCCACTTTCCTATAGGCCTGAGGTGTCTCTCAGGAATTCCAAATTGAGGTAGATCTTTCCAAGTGTCACAATGACCATTTGCGTGGCAAACATTTCAATGATTCAAATAACTCGTTACCACCCTTCCCTTCCAGGGGTATCTAATCTTTTTTCTGCTGCACTTTGGAAGAAGAATGAGTTGTCTTGGACCATAGTGAATAAAGATAAGCAAAAAAGGCTCGGCGCCTATAGCTCAACTGGCTAAGGCGCCAGCCACGTACACCTAAGGTGGCGGGTTCGAATCCCCAGCCCGGATCCGCCAAACAACAATGATGGCTGCAACCAAAAAATAGCCAGGCGTTGTGGCGGGCGCCTGTGGTCCCAGCTACTTGGGAGACGGAGGCAGGAGACTCGCTTGAGCCCAGGAGTTGGAGGTTGCTGTGAGCTGTAATGCCATGGCACTCTACCCAGGGGGACAGCTTGAGGCTCTGTCTCAAAAAAAAAAAAAAAAAAAAAAAAAAGATAAGCAAAAAAATAAAGGTGTGTGCATACTTTTCATGGTATCTGACACCACAGACCAATAACTTATACCATGATTGGGAGAGGGGGCCATGTGGGTGCCTTTGAATGGTTAAAATAACCTATAATAACATTTTTAATATAGTAATAGGAATTTTCATATTGTTTTAAATCACCAATGGAAAAAATTTAATTGCAGAATCCTCTTTGGTGGGGGCAGTATTTTATTTTTCCATAATTTCTCTGTTGGTGTTTTGATGCACTTTGCTTCTCCTATCAATCCCATAAGGGCGGCAGGTATTTCCAGGTTTTACAGATCAGAAAATGGTAGCTCAGAGACTTACCTGAAGTTCCAGAACTAGTAAATGGTAGCAGGCCTTCTTGTTCCAGAAAATGGTGTTTTCTCCACAGCATCACTTGGTGGGAGGGTTCAGAACCACATTAGGCTGGGGAAATGGCCTAGGTTTCTGTGGCTTGGTGCAGACAGCCCCCACTCACCCTCAGGGACTACCTGGATTTGGAGCAGCTGTTTCCAGAAGCAAGTGACCCCACACGAAGGGCCCACCTGAGCCCCTAAGATGGGCTAATCCGAAACAGGTTGCACCACAGCTTTTCCTCAGATATGAGCTTTTGTTCTCCACATGACAACCAGGGGAGGCCAGTTACTCTGTAAAGCAGTGGCTCTCAGTTGCATGACAGAGCCCACTGGGCCCCATACCACCTCTGTGGGTAGGGGCAGTCACCCACAAGTTAAACATTTGCAGGTAGAAATGAGAACCAAAGTCCTGAGCTCACAATTTATTTGTGAGATTCCCAAAACATGTATACACAGATCCCTCTTTAGGGGAGGGGGCTGTTGGGTGCTCTTAGAAGACTAGAGCAGCATTCCTGAGAGGAATGGCCATAGTCCAGGCCTGACACTCTTGGGCTATAAGGCAGAGAGGTCTGTTGGGTGGTCTGGACTTCATCAAGATGGTCTGTACAGTTGGGTCCAGTCCAATGGCCATGGGCTAGACCAGGGAGAGCTCAGGGTATGCAGCACTGGGTGGGCTATGCAAAGGCTGTGTAAGTGGGAGCCCTCCCAGCCCACCTGTGCTTCTGAAGCACGGGGCCAGCCTGAACACTGTGTATTTCCTGAAAGCCACTACAACGTAGCCTCTAGGACAGGCTGCCATCTTCCTTCCTATGGGCCAGAAGCTAAACTAACTCTACCATGATGGTTCCCCTTACAGCTGTCTCAATTCTAGCTCTGAACTGCTGGCCCTTTCTACTTTGTAAACCTATGTTTTTGAAATTACTTCTGGTGATTCATTTTCTCCTAATAACTTATTCACCAAGAATAATCCCAAAGGCTCTCAGCTCT